TATATTAATTAATATTTATTAAAAAAAAAAAAATACATGCTCCTGGTATCTGTCATACAGACTGTAGATACAAATTTGTGTAAACTGATATAATGCAGAAGGAAGGGAAGAAGGGAAGGAGGGAGGAAAAGACAGACATACAGGATGGAAATCGCCTGCATCAGATCAGCAAAAATATGGATCTCTGGTTTGTTAGACAAAGAACTGGGCAGTTCTATTAATCTGACTCTTCAGACTTTGATAAAAGTTGTCTGGGAAGGGATAGGGACAAAGATGTCTTCAAAACTTCCTGTCAGAAACCAAACGACTCTATGACATGTCCTTTTGATCATTTTAATGCAAAAAGCCATTCATAAATTTTATTAGATAAGCTGTGAGTGTCCTTGAGAAATCACAATACCAATCCACAGTCTCAGCCTAAAGCTCTATGTTCTGCGTGTGTTGCCCCTATTCCCACAACTCAGAAAATAATAGCTGCCTTCTGTTTTTCTGCAAGATCCAAAGAACTCATTTAACATTTACACCACCAAAATCCACCTCCACAGCATCCTATTTGATTAAAAAATTAAGCGACTGCATCTTGGCTTTCTCTATATCCATCTGTTTGAATTGAGGCATACATGACCTAATAAAAGGCTTGCTTAGTGGTTTTCTTGTTCCTGTGCATTGAGGGTTATCCACTAAGTAATAATAACTCGACCCAGATCTTCACCCTAGTATTGCCAGTATAGAGAGTTTCCTGATTTTTTTTTTTCTATTTTGCTTTTTTTAAGAAAAACAAGAAAAAAAATCAAAACAACTTCTAAGTTTAAATCCTGTCCTCTTGAAGAATGTAAGGTTACATACTTACAGTCTTAACGAAATTTCAAAATAACTTTTTTCTTTCCCTTCTAAAGGGCAAATTCATTCGAATCCACTTCGGAGCCACAGGCAAGCTAGCTTCTGCTGACATTGAAACATGTAAGAGACCTCCTGACCTGATCACATTCCTTCCTCCCTTTCTACCTCAGTGTACTTTCTCAGGCCTAACTCTGTCCTACCATCCTTGCTAGATCTGCTGGAGAAGTCCAGAGTCACTTTCCAGCTCAAGGCAGAAAGAAGCTACCACATATTTTATCAGATCATGTCCAACAAGAAGCCAGAGCTAATTGGTAAGAAGTATTATAAATTTTTTGATGGAATCTGAAAGTGTTTAACATTTCTCTTCATTCTTACACCTGGATATGTCCTATTCCTCTTTACAGACATGCTCCTCATTACCACCAACCCATACGACTACCAATTTGTGAGTCAAGGTGAGATCACTGTTGCCAGCATTAATGACCAGGAAGAGCTGATGGCTACAGATGTAAGTGACACCGAGCATATTGGTGTGGTGAAAGTTCCATTTAATGGGCCAGAGGTTTATTTGACTGATTCTGTTGCCAGAGTGCCATTGACATCCTGGGCTTCACTGCTGATGAGAAAACAGCCATTTACAAGCTGACAGGGGCTGTCATGCACTATGGGAACTTGAAGTTCAAGCAGAAGCAGCGTGAGGAGCAGGCAGAGCCAGATGGCACAGAAGGTATTAACAAAATCTAGAACTCCCAATAACAGAAACAGTTACATAGCTGGCAGTTGGCATTCAGGTATCTTGCTCCAATTTAATTTCATAAAGACATAAATTCTAGCTTCCATAATATTCATGCTTCTAAATTTCCTTTCAAGCTATCACAAGATTGCAGTGCTGAAACCTTAGAGGACCTCCACTTTCAATGATCACTTCTCCTCTGTCACTGTCTCCCTCTCTCTTTGTGTATAGTTGCTGACAAGGCTGCCTACTTGATGGGTCTGAACTCAGCAGACCTGCTCAAGGCCCTGTGCTACCCCCGAGTCAAGGTTGGGAATGAATATGTGACCAAGGGTCAAACCGTGCAGCAGGTAACAACCAGCTGGTGACTGGGAACCTCTGGCTTGATTCACTCTCTTGCTCTGGTACTGTTTTCCTTCTGCTGCATTCTTCTTTGTATTAGGTGAACAATTCGGTGGGTGCTCTTGCAAAGGCTGTCTATGAGAAGATGTTCCTGTGGATGGTTGTTCGTATCAACCAACAACTGGATACCAAGCAGCCCAGACAGTATTTCATTGGTGTCCTGGACATTGCTGGCTTTGAGATCTTTGATGCAAGTACCACAGAAATCATAGTAAAATCTTGAAAGGGCAATTAGAGCTCAAGAGGAACTGGAGAATTATGGTGGGGGTTTTTTAAAATATTCCATTCACTTGAAATTTCAACTCAAGTTTTGTAGGGTTTTTTTAAATTTTATTTTCTGGAAATGCTTTCCTTCCTTGTATATGTCACTGCTTTTTCTCCAGCACAATCCATGAGCTTCAATGGATCTGCAAGTAACAGCTTTACGTGATACACAAGGAAGAAGCAGCTGCCTTCTACATGATTAGCACAAATGTAGCTTTTCAATAATTTGAGCTTAGTATTAGAAAAGTCCACTGACAAATAGCACACAAATAGCAAAGATACAATATCACGGAGAGTAGGAGGAGAAAGGTAGACTTAAGTCCCCCACAAAATTGTGCTAAGTCTTTGGAAAAAGAGAGCAATATATATCCTTTGCTTCTGAAGAGCCAAATGGTGATTCCAACAGGAAGAATGCATTGGCTGCCTTTAGTGCAGACAGAGAAGTTCTACAGACATTTGGGGAAGGTACTTGAGTCCAAGCCAGGACTGGCAAACACTGACAATGTCTAATTTTTTTGTAAGGGCAATGGGAAAATTTACATAATATGAGAGAAAAGAGTGAAGTAAATTGCACCTTGATAGGGATAAGATTACCAAATCTTTTGGGAATTTGATTTAAAAATAAATTATATATGTAAACATCATTCAGGTAGCAAAGAGCAAAAAAACCCCAACCTCTTTGAAAATAGTTAATGGGATGTTTTAACATTAAAAAAATCTTTGTTTTAACTGGGCATTATTCTGAGTGCACAGGAGAAAGCTACACAGGCAGTTCTTCATCTTGAGAATGAGTAAATCTTGTCTTTGCACTGAGCAGTTCAACAGCCTGGAGCAGCTGTGCATCAACTTCACCAATGAGAAACTGCAACAGTTCTTCAACCACCACATGTTTGTGCTGGAGCAGGAGGAATACAAGAAGGAGGGAATTGAATGGACATTCATTGACTTTGGGATGGACCTGGCTGCCTGCATTGAGCTCATTGAAAAAGTATGTTGATTACATTTAAGATTTTGTTATTTCTTGTTCGTGACAGAATTTTAGGATTTTTCTTCAGCCTTATTATTTCTTGCCCTAATGCTTCACAAACCTACCTATTATTATCCATTTATGTTCCTGGCTATTTGTATTCAAAAAGTACCTTTTCATTTCAAATATTATATGTATTCAGAAAGTAATTTCTAAGGACCTTTGTGATTAGGCTACAAATGAAGTACCTTTAGGTTATCCATTAACTACATTATTATATGCATTTTAAAAAAATTAACTGTAATTTTGCTTGTTTGGCAACAGAAGAATTAATGCGATCACACATAATTTGATGGCAAGGATTCTCTGTAGGTATGCTTTCTAGTCTACAAAGATGAAAGATCTCTTTTCAGAAACCCAGACACAATTTTCAGTATTATGATTATGATTTCAATATTAATACTGTGATTTCTGAAACACAAGTTCTAAGTAAAATCATAGGTGTCTATAGAAAAAAGGTACTGGATGAACAGGGTTGAATAAAACAACCACAATGAGCTGACTAGCTGACTCTGTTTTGTGTAACATCCTCTTGTACAGGAATGAAAAGACAGAGATATCTCATCAAAAATAAGGTTTCAGGAAGTAGCTGAAAGATCTGTTTATCTGTTGAACAAAGGTCAATTTTAGTAAGATACCTTCATCTACACAAATTTACTTTGGGAAAGCATTAATGCAGAAAATAAAAATCTCCTTTTGATTCATCAGTTTCCCAATTATTTAGAAGACTTTGTGTGATTATTGTGACACTGTCAGTTCTGAAATACATTAGTTTCAGACACAAATTTATGTTTTGTCTAGAACTGCATGTGCAAAACCTAACAAAGATTTGATCCATTTTTGATCCAAAAATTTCATCCATTTCTCAGTTTCCTGTGCCTTACTGCAGTCTCCTTCTGAAGTCAGACGTGTATTTCATCGCTGTTATTTTTTGCTCCTTCTCCCAGCCCATGGGCATCTTCTCCATCCTGGAAGAGGAGTGCATGTTCCCCAAGGCAACTGACACATCTTTTAAGAACAAGCTCTATGACCAACATCTGGGCAAGTCCAACAACTTCCAGAAGCCCAAGCCTGGCAAAGGCAAGGCTGAGGCCCACTTCTCCCTGGTGCACTACGCTGGCACCGTGGACTACAACATCTCTGGCTGGCTTGAAAAGAACAAGGACCCCCTAAACGAAACAGTCATTGGGCTGTATCAGAAATCATCTGTGAAGACACTGGCGTTACTTTTTGCCTCTGCTGGTGGAGAGGCAGGTCAGTTCTCTGAAATGTCACCTCTTTGGTGCAGAGTGGTTCTACAAAATTGTGGAATTGTGAATGGGCCCCAAAGCCATAAATGTTTCATTATCTTTACTTTATCAGAGGCTAGTGGTGGTGGTGGTGGCAAGAAAGGTGGCAAGAAGAAGGGTTCTTCTTTCCAGACTGTCTCAGCTCTTTTCCGGGTGAGTGAACATTTTATCTTTTCACCTATGCAAATTAGAATTAAACTGCATTTTCAACTGACTCAGCCACAGTAAAAAAACAAACAAACAACTTTTGTTCAGATCCTCATTAAAAAAAAAAAAGTCTTATGGAATGAAAAATGACACTGTAAAGTCCTAAGTTACAGTTAAAATAAAACATGAATTTTCTCATAAAACTATGAAGTACCTACCCTCTAACTCTCATTGGCTTGATGGCAACATTTTTCTTATCCTAAGAAGTGATGTTCAATGTTCAGAATCAGAGGAGATTGAGCTATTGATTGAGGTATTATCAGTTGATAATTTTCAGCCCAGTGCATCTCCATTGATAGCCCTTTTATGCTAAGTTCAAAGAACCTAAGAGTTAGTTTTTCCATATTTCATATAAACACACACTAAATCATGGTCCCACAGGAGAACCTAAACAAGCTGATGA